TTAGGGGAAAGAACGGTTAGCCAATCTCCGACCCCCAGGAACAGGTTTGCAGATTTGCTGAGCATTTCTGTGAGGTCCTGGAGGAGGGGAAATCCCTCAGCCTGGAAAACATCATGGCACAAAGTGGGGATGACCCTGCTGAGGCTGCGGTGCCTCAAATATTGGAAGAAGTCACCCCCTTTGAGTGAAGGAGATCCGGAGTCTGAGACCAGGAAATGCACTGGGCAGAGATGATCTTCTAAGCGAAATGCTGAAGGAGGGTGGCGTTTGTGCACAGACTGCACTATATGACATCATAACAAGTCTTGACCACTGGATGGGTTCCACAGGATTGGAAGGATGCCCTGGTGGTCCCCCTCTTTAAGAAGGGGGACCGCACAGGCTGTAACAACTACAGGGGCATCTCACTCCTCAGTGTGCTGGGAAAGGTCCTGGCAAGGATTATTCAACATCGCCTCGCCAGGCACGCTGAGGAGAGGCTTGCGGAGCCCCAATGCGGTTTCAGGAAAGGGCAGTACCTGCACAGATGCCATATTTTCTGTCCGTCTGCTACAGCAGAGGTGTAGGGAATTCCAACAAAACCTATATCTCTGCTTTATTGACCTGGTCAAGGCCTATGATACCATCAGTAGGCCTGGGCTCTGGGTTGTTCTTCGTGCTTTTGGAGTCCCTGACCCTCTGCTCACGATCATTAAGGACCTTCATGATGGTGAGCGGGCCCGGGTAAAACTACGTGTCCGGGAGTCGGAGCCATTCCCTGTACACCTTAGGGTGCGACAGGGATGTCCTCTGGCTCCCACATTATTTAACATCTATCTCGACCACGTAGTTTGTGAAGCCTTCAATAGCTGTACCGGGGGAATCTCCATATGGTACAGATATAATGGGAGGCTGATCGATGCCAGGGTGGATTCAAGGGATGGCTCCCTATTGCTCAACCATGTTATGTATGCCAATGTTCTGGTAATTGCTGCTCACTCAGAGGAGGAGTTGGAGGCACTGCTGCTAAACCTGGAGCGTGCCACTAAGACGTGGGGCCTTACCATCAGCCCCACCAAAACTAAGCACCTGCCTGGGTATTTTGTACCATCGGACACTCCACCCCCACAACCCCCAATCAGTGACAGGGCAGTTGCGGAGAGAGTGGAGGGTTTACCATACCTGGGTAGTGTGGTCATGACCGGCTCCGGTTTAACAGCAGAGGTCTCACTCCGAATCAGTCGAGCGGCAATATATTTTCATCGGTTGCATAACGCTGTGTGGAAGCTACCTGGTCTGTCGCTCCGCACTAAGCTTCAGGTCTTTTCGGCCACGGTCATTCCCTCCCTTCTCTACGCTTACGAAACGTGGACACCCCTAATGGAACATCGTCGCCGGTTATAAACATTGAGGCTGGCCTGCCTACGATCCATCCTGGGTTTAATCAGTCTGGATTGTGTGAGCAGCTCACAATTCCTTGAAAGATCTGGGCAAAGTCCCATCGGTGAGCTCCTCCGGCAGGCATGGCTGTTTTCGCTGGGTCATGTTGACCGCATTCCCAGCCACTGCATGCCGAAACATCTTTTGTTCGGCCGGGTCGACGGGGCTAAACGGGCGCGGCACGGGCTAGAGAAGAGATGGAGTGATGTGGTACAGGAGGACGTGGAGCTGAGTGGACTTGCCGATGACTGGTATCAGCGGTGTCAAGATCGGCCTCTGTGGAGGAGGCTCGTGAAGGACGCTACTGGGCAGTTGGAGGTAGTCACCCTCCAACAACAACGGAGGGCGGAGGAGCGACGCTCACAACAACGAGCGGAGCGCCGGGTGGCTAAAGCACAGCAGGTTGGCACAGTAGGGGGCACAGGTGGTCCATCAGCCAGTCATCTCAGTCAGTCGACCCGTGGCACCTGGGTCTGCCCCGTGACCTCCTGCCAGCGGGCGTTCGACACTTCACGTGGCCTCAGGGTGCACATAGCCTGGCACAAGCGTCGTGGTGACGTTACCGCCACTTAGTGGCGAATGGCGGTTGTTGTTGTTGTCTGTGTGTGTCTCTGTGTGTGTCTGTGTGTGTCTGTGTGTGTCTCTGTGTGCGTGTCTCTGTGTCTCTGTGCACGTCTCTGTGTGTCTCTGTGCGTGTCTCTGTGCGTGTCTCTGTGCACGTCTCTGTGTGTATCTCTGTGTGTCTGTGTGTTTCTCTGTGTGTGTGTGTCTCTGTGCGTGTCTCTCTGTGTGTGTCTCTGTGCACGTCTCTGTGTGTGTTTCTCTGTGTGTCTGTGTGTGTGTGTCTCTCTGTGTGTGTCTGTGTGTGCGTTTCTCTGTGCGTGTCTCTGTGTGTGTCTCTGTGCACGTCTCTGTGTGTGCATCTCTCTCAATGCCAGCCATTGTCCTCCTTTCCCCCAATTCTCTGGCGTGGAGGGGGTGGGAAAGTGAAGTGATGGAACCGCTTCGGCTCCTGTTTGGATTGGGATGTCAGTGGGTGACTGAAGTCGTGGCTCTCCTTGTGGGGAAAGAGAAAGGAAACGGTGTTCTTTTTATTTGACCAGGTAAGGCTCACTGAGCTATGCGGATCTTTTTTTTTTTACAGAAGCGACCGGGCCACCACAAAATTAGTGGTCAACTCTGTGGTTGATTTCATCACCACGTGTACTCACCCACCCACTCACTCACCCACCCACTCACTCACACACCCACTCACCTACCCAGCCACTCACCCACCCACTCACCCACACACTCACCTACCCACTCACCTATCCACTCACCCACTCACTCACCCACCCTCTCTCCCACCCACTCACTCACCTACCCACCCACTCACCTACCCACTCACCCACCCTCTCACCCCCCCACCCACTCACCCTCCCACCCACCCACTCACTCACCCACCCTCTCTCCCACCCACTCACTCACCTACCCACCCACTCACCTACCCTCTCTCCCACTCACTCACTCACCTACCCACCCACTCACCTACCCACCCACTCACCCTCCCACCCACTAACCCTCCCACCCACTCACCCTCCCACCCACCCACCCAGGTCAACCGAGTTCGATTCCGGATACGGGCCCGCCTTTGTGTCTCTGATTCTGTGTGCGTACCCCCCCCACTCCCCCCCCCCCCCCGCTGTTCCCCAGTGCTGTGTTGCTGTGCGCATGCTGAACTTCTTTCGCGCCGTACGCAGCTCCCACCGTGCTCATCTCGAGCAGTCGGTGGGTCAGCGGCGCCCACGACACGCTGCTAGCCCGAGTTCGATTCCCGCTCACGGCCACCGCAACCACAGGTTCCGCCCCCCCCCTGCCCCCCCCTAGGTCGTCACTGGGGGAGAGACAAAGGCGGCCGGGCGTGGTTGCTGGCCACCCACCCCCAGTGCCGGTAGCCTTTGTAGGATGATGCACTTGCCCCGACGTCTGTTAGAGGCTACACGGGGGACCTTTGTCTTTGTGCAGCCAGCATGCTCAGCCACCACGTGCCGCGTAGAGTGGGGCTGGAGATGAGATGGAGCTGATGGAGAAGTGGGTGGGTGAGTCAGTGGGTGAGTGGGTGAGCGAGTGGGTGAGCGAGTGGGTGAGTGGGCGAGTGGGTGAGTGAGCGAGTGGGTGGGTGAGTGAGCGAGTGGGTGAGTGAGTGGGTGAGTGGATGAGTGGGTGAGTGAGTGGGTGAGTGAGTGGGTGAGTGAGTGAGTGGGTGAGTGAGTGGGTGAGTGAGTGGGTGAGTGGATGAGTGAGTGGGTGAGTGGATGAGTGCGTGAGTGGGTGAGTGAGTGGGTGAGTGAGTGGGTGAGTGGGTGGGTGAGTGAGTGGATGAGTGAGTGGGTGAGTGGATGAGTGCGTGAGTGGGTGAGTGGGTGAGTGAGTGGGTGAGTGGGTGAGTGAGTGGGTGGGTGAGTGGGTGAGTGGATGAGTGGGTGAGTGAGTGGGTGAGTGGATGAGTGGGTGAGTGAGTGAGTGAGTGGATGAGTGGGTGAGTGAGTGGGTGAGTGGATGAGTGGGTGAGTGAGTGGGTGAGCGGGTGAGTGAGTGGGTGAGTGGGTGGATGAGTGGGTGAGTGGGTGAGTGAGTGGGTGAGTGGATGAGTGGATGAGTGGGTGAATGAGTAGGTGAATGAGTAGGTGAGTGGGTGGGTGAGTGAGTGGGTGAGTGGATGAGTGAGTGAGTGGGTGAGTGGATGAGTGAGTGAGTGGGTGAGTGAGTGGGTGAGTGGATGTGGATCTGAGTGGACTTGCCGATGAGCGGTACCAGCGGTGTAAACATCGGCCTCTATGGGAGGAGGAGGATGCCCCTGACGGACGCTGCTACTGAGCAGTGCCAGGCTAGGTGCACGTCGAGGCTACTGGGCAGCTGGAGGCAGTCGCCCCTCCGGCAACAGCAGCGGATGGGGGGCAGAGGAGCGACGCTCACAACAACGGGCGGAGCGCCGGGCGGGTAAAACGCAGCGAGTTTGGGGGGGGGGGGGAACAGCTGGTGGGTTGCATCTTGCAAGTTGACGTCTCTGTCGGCCAACTGCCGGTGACGTCACCGCCACTGTGTCTGAGATGACGTCAAACGCCAGTTATCTCGGCGATGACGTCAAACGCCAGCGCGTCTCGTCGGTTGACGCCTAAGCGTTAGTTACGCCTGCGATGACGTCACAAACGCCAGCGTGTCTCTCGTCGGTGACGTCAAACCGCCAGCGCGTTTGTCTCTCCTCGGTGACGTAAAAACGCCGGCGTGTCTCACGTCGGCGACGTCAAAAAGTGTCACTCTCGCGATGACGTCAAACCGCCGGCGTTTGACTCTCGTCAGTGACGTCAAACCACCGTCGGCGCGTGACTCTCGTCGGTGACGTCAAACCAGCCGTCCTGCGCGTGCCTCTCGTCAGTGACGTCAGACCACCCGTCGGCGCGCGCCTCTCGGGTTGGACGTCAGACCAGCCGTCGGCGCGCGTCTCTCGTCGGTGACGTCAAACCGGCCGTCGGCGCGTGGTGTCTCTCGTTCGGTGACGTCAGACCACCCGTCGGCGCGCGTTGTCTCTCGTTCGGTGACGTCAGACCACCCGTCGGCGCGCGGCGTCTCTCGTTCGGTGACGTCAGACCACCCGTCGGCGCGCGGCGTCTCTCGTTCGGTGACGTGCCGGTCACGTGACGGTTCCCGCTTCTCGTTGATGACAGTAGCGCCTCCTGCGACTAAAACTTATCCGAGGCCGACTCAACAACAACAACACCACCACCACAATCCTCCTCCTCATCATCATCATCTCCTCCTTCATCGATAACCTCTTCAGGAGGAGGGAGGAGGGTGGAGAGCCATGAAGAGAGGCGAGGAGGCGCGCGCCGTGCTGGCTAAGGAGGCTCAGACCAAGGCAAGGCCGCATTTTCCTGACGGGGTTACTTTTATTTCCCCCCCCCCGCTGTCCTGCTTATAAGCCCACTGCCGCTGAAAACTTTTATCTTGTTGTTAATCATCATCGTTGTAATTGTCAGCATTGTAATTATTATAATTGTGATAATTGTAATTATGATTATAATTGTCATTTATATCATTCTCATTGTTGTCGTCATAATTGTCGTAATTATGTCATCATTTTTATCATAATTATTAGAAATATCATTAGCAGCAGCATCATCATCATTGTTCGTGGTGGTTCCGCTTCTGTCATCAAAGTGTTGCCCGCTGCTCAGTGTTGGGAGTCTCTGTCGCTGTTGTGGTGCAGGCGACCTCTGTTGTGGCTGTTGTTGTTGTGGGTGGGTAAGTGGGTGGGTGAGTGGGTGGGTGAGTGGGTGGATGGGTGAGTGAGTGGGTGAGTGGGTGGGTGAGTGAGTGGGTGGGTGAGTGGGTGACTGAGTGAGTGAGAGTGGGTGAGTGAGTGGGTGAGTGAGTGGGTGAGTGGGTGGGTGAGTGAGTGAGAGTGGGTGCGTGAGTGGGTGAGTGGGTGAGTGAGTGGGTGGATGGGTGAGTGAGTGGGTGAGTGGGTGGGTGAGTGAGTGAGAGTGGGTGAGTGGGTGGGTGGGTGACTGAGTAGGTGAGTGGTTGAGTGGGTGGGTGAGTTGGTGGGTGAGTGGGTGGGTGGTTGAGTGGGTGGGTGAGTGGGTCAGTGGGTGGGTGAGTGGGTGAGTGGGTGGGTGAGAGGTTGGGTGAGTGAGTTGGTGGGTAAGTGGGTGGGTGGGTGGTGAGTGAGAGTGAGTGGGTGAGTGAGTGAGAGTTTTCCAGTCTCAGAAGGCCTGGATGGATTTATATATAAACTCTTGTTGTTCTATAAACTCTTGTAATATAAACTTAGATTATAAACGAGAACACACACACCAAGATCCCCCGTATAGCCTTCACAGACTATTGGGGAAAGTGCTGTTAGCACCTATGAAAGTCGGAACGGCACGCGAGGGTGGCCAGCACCACGCCCGGCCGCCTTTGTCTCCCCAGTGGCGATGTTTACTACACACAGCACCAGGTACTCATTTGAGGCTGAGTCGACCTACGGGAGGAGGCCCAGGACCGGTTCAGATAATTATTATCGTCTCCGGTGTTGGCCGTGAGCGGGAATCGAACCTCGGCTGTGGGGTTCGTAGCACGGCGCGCTAACCACTACGCCACCACTCTTCACTTCAACACACACACACACACACACGTGCGTACGCACACACACGTACACAGACACACACACGCGTGCGTGCGCACACACACGTACACAGACGCACACGTAAACAGACGTACACAGACACACACACGTACACAGACGTACACAGACACACACACACGTACACAGACACACACACGTACACAGACACACGTACACAGACACACACGTGCGTGCACACACACAGACACACGTACACAGACACACTCGTACACAGACATACACGTACGCACACACAACAACAGCCATTCACCACTAAGTGGCGGTGGGCGTCACCACGGCGCTTGTGCCAGGCTATGTGCACCTTGAGGCCACGTGAAGTGTCGAACGCCCGCCGGCAGGAGGTCACGGGGCAGACCCGGGTGCCACGGGTCGACTGACTTCGATGAGTGGCCGATGTACCACCTGTGCCCCCTACTGTGCCAACCCGCTGTGCTTTAGCCACCCGGCGCTCCGCTCGTTGTTGTGAGCGTCGCTCCTCCGCCCTCCGCTGTTGATGCTGGAGGGCGACCGACTCCAACTGCCCAGTAGCAGCGTCCTTCAAGAGCCTCCTACACACACGTCCGCACACACACACGTACACGTACACACACGTACACACGTACAAACACATACACACACACGTACACGTACGTACACACGCGCACGTACGTTGCGGCGTTGTGACATGGGGCCTTTTGTTTGTCGCTTGCCTAGGTGGTGATGAGGAGGCTGCCCCCGCATCTCACCAGCGAGCAGCTCCTGGAACAAGTCTCACCTCTGCCTGATCACGACTACTACTATTTCGTGCCCGCGGATCTGAGGTACCGGTAGCCGCCCGGCATTTGGACATTAATCGGGAGGACCAGGCCTCTTTCTGCGCGGCGGAATGTTGACGGGGGGCGGTCTGCTTTGGGGCTTTCTCGGCAGTAATCTGCCGACGGACCGGTATCTGGCGGTGCGTTTAGACCACTGGTTCTGAAGCTTTGCTGCAGCCTTGTCCCCGCGTCTCTCTCCACTTGTCCCCAAGTCTCTCTCCGTCTCTCTCCGTCTCTCTCCGCGTGTCCGCACGTCTCTCTCCGTTTCTCTCCGTCTCCGCGTGTCACCGCGTGTCCCCACGTCTCTCTCCGCGTGTCCCTGCGTCTCTCTCCGTCTCTCTCCGCTCGTCCCCAAGTCTCTCTCCGTCTCTAAGTCTCTCTCCGTCTCTCTCCGCGTGTCCCCGTGCCTCTCTCCGCGTGTCTCCGTGTCTCTCTCCGAGTCTCTCTGCGCGTGTCCCCACGTCTCTCTCCGCGTGTCTCCGTGTCTCTCTCAATGTCTCTCTCCGCGTGTCCCCGCGTCTCTCTCCGCCTCTCTCCGCTTGTCCCCGTGTCTCTCTCCGCGTGTTACCGTGTCTCTCTCCGCGTGTTCCCAAGTCTCTCTCTGCTTGTCCCCCGTGTCTCACTCCGCGTGTTCCCAAGTCTCTCTCTGCTTGTCCCCGTGTCTCTCTCCGCGTGTCCTTCATGTATGTCGCATGTCACCATCCTCCCCGTGTCTCCGTGTTTTCCCTGGTGTGTGTATGTATGTTGAACTTCTTTCGCACCGTACGTTGGCATCTTTTGTAAGATGCCAACGTCTTGTGTAACCCCCTTGTGTAACAACCCCTTTGTGTAACAACCCCTTGTGTAACCCTCTTGTGTAACCCCCCCTTGTGTAACCCCCCTTGTGTAACAACCCCCTTGTGTAACCCTCTTGTGTAACCCCCTTGTGTAACAACCCCCTTGTGTAACCCCCTTGTGTAACCCCCTTGTGTAACAACCCCCTTGTGTAACCCCCTTGTGTAACAACCCCTTGTGTAACCCCCTTGTGTAACCCCCTTGTGTAACAACCCCCTTGTGTAACCCCCTTGTGTAACAACCCTTGTGTACCCCCCTTGTGTAGCCCTCTTGTGTAACCCCCTTGTGTAACCCCCTTGTGTAACAACCCATTGTGTAACCCCCTTGTGTAACAACCCCTTTGTGTAACAACCCCTTGTGTAACCCCCTTGTGTAACCCCCCTTGTGTAACCCCCCTTGTGCAACAACCCCCTTGTGTAACCCTCTTGTGTAACCCCCTTGTGTGACAACCCCCTTGTGTAACCCCCTTGTGTAACAACCCCCTTGTGTAACCCCCTTGTGTAACAACCCACTTGTGTAACCCCCTTGTGTAACCCCCTTGTGTAACCCTCTTGTGTAACCCCCCTTGTGTAACCCCCCTTGTGTAACAACCCTTGTGTACCCCCCTTGTGTAACCCCCTTGTGTAACCCCCTTGTGTAACCCCACTTTTGTAACCCCCCCTCGTGTAACCCCCTTGTGTAACCCCCTTGTCTAACCCCCCTTTTGTAACCCCCTTGTGTAACCCCCTTGTGTAACAACCCCTTGTGTAACAACCCCTTGTGTAACACCCCCTTGTGTAACCCCCTTGTGTAACAACCCCTTGTGTAACCCCCTGGTGTAACAACCCTTGTGTAACCCCCTTGTGTAACCCCACTTTTGTAACCCCCCCTCGTGTAACCCCCTTGTGTAACCCCCTTGTCTAACCCCCCTTTTGTAACCCCCTTGTGTAACCCCCTTGTGTAACAACCCCTTGTGTAACAACCCCTTGTGTAACACCCCCTTGTGTAACCCCCTTGTGTAACAACCCCTTGTGTAACCCCCTGGTGTAACAACCCTTGTGTAACCCCCTTGTGTATCCCCCTTGTGTAAACCCCTTGTGTAACCCCCTTGTGTAACAACCCCTTGTGTAACCCCCTTGTGTAACCCCCTTGTGTAACCCCCTTGTGTAACAACCCTTGTGTAACCCTCTTGTGTAACCCTCTTGTGTAACCCCTCCCTTGTGTAACAACCCCTTGTGTAACAACCCCTTGTGTAACAACCCCTTGTGTAACTCCCTTGTGTAACCCCTTTGTGTAACAACCCCTTGTGTAACTCCCTTGTGTAACCCCCTTGTGTAACCCCTCTTGCGTAAGCCCCTTGTGTAACCCCCTTGTGTAACCCCCTTGTGTAACAACTCCTTGTGTAACCCTCTTGTGTAACCCCCTTGTGTAACCCCCTTGTGTAACCCTCTTGTGTAACCATCTTGTGTAACCCCCTTGTGTAACCTCTCCCTTGTGTAACAACCCCTTGTGTAACAACCCCTTGTGTAACCCTCTTGTGTAACCCTCTTGTGTAACCCCTTGTGTAACCCGCTTGTGCAACCCCTTTGTGTAACCCCCCCCCCTTGTGTAACCCTTCTTGTGGAACCCTCTTGTGTAACAACCCCCTTGTGTAACACCCCTTTGTGTAACCCTTCTTGTGTAACCCCCCCTTGTGTAACCCCCTTGTGTAACCCCCCTTGTGTAACCCCCCCTTGTGTAACCCCCTTGTGTAACCCCCCTTGTGTAACAACACCTTGTGTAACCCCCTTGTGTAACAACCCTTGTGTAACCCCCTTGTGTAACCCTCTTGTGTAACCATCTTGTGTAACCCCCTTGTGTAACCTCTCCCTTGTGTAACAACCCCTTGTGTAACAACCCCTTGTGTAACCCTCTTGTGTAACCCTCTTGTGTAACCCCTTGTGTAACCCGCTTGTGCAACCCCTTTGTGTAACCCCCCTTGTGTAACCCCTCTTGTGGAACCCCCTTGTGTAACAACCCCCTTGTGTAACACCCCCTTGTGTAACCCCTCTTGTGTAACCCCCCCTTGTGTAACCCCCTTGTGTAACCCCCCCTTGTGTAACCCCCCCCTTGTGTAACCCCCTTGTGTAACCCCCCTTGTGTAACAACCCTTGTGTAACCCCCTTGTGTAACCCTCTTGTGTAACCCCCTTGTGTAACCCCCTTGTGTAACCCCCCTTGTGTAACCCCCCTTGTGTAACAACCCTTGTGTACCCCCCTTGTGTAACCCCCTTGTGTAACCTCACTTTTGTAACCCCCCCTCGTGTAACCCCCTTGTGTAACCCCCTTGTCTAACCCCCCTTTTGTAACCCCCTTGTGTAACCCCCTTGTGTAACAACCCCTTGTGTAACACCCCCTTGTGTAACCCCCTTGTGTAACAACCCCTTGTGTAACCCCCTGGTGTAACAACCCTTGTGTAACCCCCTTGTGTATCCCCCTTGTGTAAACCCCTTGTGTAACCCCCTTGTGTAACAACCCCTTGTGTAACCCCCTTGTGTAACCCCCTTGTGTAAACCCCTTGTGTAACCCCCCTTGTGTAACAACCCTTGTGTAACCGTCTTGTGTAACCCTCTTGTGTAACCCTCTTGTGTAACCCCTCCCTTGTGTAACAACCCCTTGTGTAACAACCCCTTGTGTAACCCCCTTGTGTAACCCTTTGTGTAACAACCCCTTGTGTAACTCCCTTGTGTAACCCCCTTGTGTAACCCCTCTTGCGTAAGCCCTTGTGTAACCCCCTTGTGTAACCCCCTTGTGTAACAACTCCTTGTGTAACCCTCTTGTCTAACCCCCTTGTGTAACAACCCTTGTGTAACCCCCTTGTGTAACCCTCTTGTGTAACCCCCTTGTGTAACAACCCCTTGTGTAACCCCCTTGTGTAACAACCCCTTTGTGTAACAACCCCTTGTGTAACCCCCTTGTGTAACCCCCCCATTGTGTAACCCCCCTTGTGTAACAACCCCCGTGTGTAACCCTCTTGTGTATCCCCCTTGTGTAACCCCCTTGTGTAACAACTCCCTTGTGTAACCCCCTTGTGTAACCCCCTTGTGTAACAACTCCCTTGTGTAACCCCCTTGTGTAACAACCCCTTGTGTAACCCACTTGTGTAACCCGCTTGTGTAACCCCCTTGTGTAACAACCCACTTGTGTAACCCCCTTGTGTAACCCCCTTGTGTAACCCCCCTTGTGTAACCCCCCTTGTGTAACAACCCTTGTGTACCCCCCTTGTGTAACCCCCTTGTGTAACCCCACTTTTGTAACCCCCCCTAGTGTAACCCCCTTGTGTAACCCCCTTGTCTAACCCCCCTTTTGTAACCCCCTTGTGTACCCCCTTGTGTAACAACCCCTTGTGTACACCCCCTTGTGTAACCCCCTTGTGTAACAACCCCTTGTGTAACCCCCTGGTGTAACAACCCTTGTGTACCCCCCTTGTGTAACCCCCTTGTGTAACCCCACTTTTGTAACCCCCCCTCGTGTAACCCCCTTGTGTAACCCCCTTGTCTAACCCCCTTTTGTAACCCCCTTGTGTACCCCCCTTGTGTATCCCCTTGTGTAAACCCCTTGTGTAACCCCCTTGTGTAACAACCCCTTGTGTAACCCCCTTGTGTACCCCCTTGTGTAACCCTTGTGTAACCCCCTTGTGTAACAACCCTTGTGTAACCCTCTTGTGTAACCCTCTTGTGTAACCCCCTTGTGTAACCCCTCCCTTGTGTAACAACCCCTTGTGTAACAACCCCTTGTGTAACAACCCCTTGTGTAACCCCCTTGTGTAACCCCTTTGTGTAACAACCCCTTGTGTAACTCCCTTGTGTAACCCCCTTGTGTAACCCCTCTTGCGTAAGCCCCTTGTGTAACCCCCTTGTGTAACAACTCCTTGTGTAACCCTCTTGTGTAACCCCCTTGTGTAACCCCCTTGTGTAACCCCCTTGTGTAACCCTCTTGTGTAACCCCCTTGTGTAACAACCCCTTGTGTAACCCTCTTGTGTAACCCTCTTGTGTAACCCCTTGTGTAACCCGCTTGTGCAACCCCTTTGTGTAACCCCCCTTGTGTAACCCCTCTTGTGGAACCCCCTTGTGTAACAACCCCCTTGTGTAACACCCCCTTGTGTAACCCCTCTTGTGTAACCCCCCCTTGTGTAACCCCCTTGTGTAACCCCC